TCCGCGAACATGCTCTTGCACGTATGAAGCAACTTGGTACTGCATGTCGAGATGTTAGGACACGTGAAGTTGGAATTCAGGTATCATTTTAAAATTCTTAATCATTATTTAAATTCCTCATTCCTGAATTTGGACTAAGTTAAGAAGTCTAGGCCCCATAACTCCTATGATTTTAGGCGTAGCTTAAAATTGATTTGTTCAATGAATTAAGTAACTTATTTACTGAAAAATGAGTGAAATGCATCATTTTATGTTCTTCATTTGTGTTGTTTCCTAGCAGAATTTATATTTTGTCGCAAATCGCTTCAGAAATTTAATTTTTGAAAAAAAGTTCGAAGATTTTTGCGAAATAATTCTGATAAACATCAGTTTCATTTTTTTCATAAAAAATTCCGTACTTCATGAAGTAATTTATGTTAGAATTTCAGGAAATACATAATAAAATCGTTCCTTACCAAATTGAACTGATTCGTAGAGATTATGTCGCTAATGGTGGATGGGAGACATTTCTTTCTTACGAAGATCCAGAACAGGTTTTTTCTCGAAATCCCTAATAAATCAATCTGATGTTCATTTCAGATGTTGAAAAATTCTATTCTTTCAGGATATTTTAGTTGGTCTGCTAAGATTACGAAAATGTGCAGATAAAGTTCATCGATCGGAGTTAAAGGTATTGTTTTTGTTTAGAATCGAATAATAAATATGCATTAATTCAAGCTGAAATTATTTTTAAAAAATTATATTGTTTATCTTTTTTTTTACTTTTTCTGAAATCTATTGTCCACTTTATTATTTTGTTTTATATCGTACTAGTATCATTCTTTATATATATATATATAGTTTGGTGCAAAGACGAGACGTTCATCGAAGTAGTAATGAAAGAGTAAATTAACTGGATTTAACCGTTATAGGTCTATTTACAGTTTGGGCTTTTCTGAACGATACTTTTCCAAGTTGCATAAATGTTGGATTTTACGTAAATGATGATTGATTCTGAAAAATGTATTTCAGCATAACCTATTTCGCCGTAGAGGGCTTTGAAACATGAGAAATATTTTTTAACTAGAGGAGAAGTATTTAATTTCTCTTTTTATTGGGGTGGGTCAGTTTGAGAGAGGATAGTGGCTTTGCGCTGAAAATACAGGAATCAAGAAAAAATTTTGGACAGTTCTCAGTGATGGTATTTGGCAGATTTTAGAAATTAAAGATTGAAGAAAGAGTTTTGAATCATTTCTGTATGACTGTAAAAATTATTTTTTATGTATGAATAGAAAATTTTTCGTTGCATGATAAGTTATTCCACTATTCCTGTTTATGGCAAAAAACAGAATAAATACAATTAAAGTTGGTACTGTATTTGGAAACTAAAAATGTGCTTCAATATTTTTCGAAAAATGCTACTGTTTAAATGTGTTTAATCTCCTTTTTCAAAAAAAGGATTTGGAGATATTTACGCAACTTGTTTGTGTATATTTTAAGTTTTTTTTTTCTTTTGTTTTTTTTTTCTTGTTTTTTTTTAATTTGATGTCAATATCCACATTGCTTTTTGAATTGTTGCATTTCCACGGTATGGTAAGATGTCGTGAGATCGTGTTTTGTAAGGAGGCGTTTATACGAATTGTTCAAGGCGTTAATTTTTGTTTACAATATTTTAAGATTTAGTGGTAAAATTCAACGGATTCACAAGGTTTCAACACTACATTTTTGCATTTAAACATTATTACTGTTGTTGGTCGAACAAATTGTATTTTGTATTGTTTCAATCTATTTTAATTTAAGATAACTCTGAAAATTTATAATTAACAGACTAGCTTGTTAGATGAAGGTTTTTTTCCCAAAATTTTTTATTTAACAGTGAATCAGTTGTAGGGTGGAGTATCAATTGTTCGTGAACTGCATGTCTACGGTTCAGTAGTACCGGTATCGGCTCGAGATCCATCCAAATTTCAGCATCAGGGATTTGGCCAATTACTAATGGAAGAAGCAGAACGAATCGCCAGAAATGAACATTACAGCAGAAAATTAGCAATTATTTCTGGTGTAGGTACAAGGAATTATTATCGGTTAGTTTCCTCAGCTATATTTCTGCGGTTTTTTAAGAGTACTTAAAATCTTATAGATTACTAAACATAGTTACTACAAGAATATTATGAATATTATATCCTTGGACTTGTATTGTCTCGTACCTGTAAGTGTTGAGTAACATCTTCTAAAGAAAGGAAACATAAATTTAGTTGGAGGGAAATCAACAGTCTTAAAAATAGATCTCGTATGTGGGGCAAATTTAATTTTCTTTTTTGTGCAATAGTTTTGCCTGTTTTTTCTTTTATCTTAATATTGGAATGTAAGCATTAAAAATTTAGAACCTTACGCTGCGGGAAGGACCTCACCAGTTATAGATTAGAATTTTAATATTTTATGTATATATCAAATAATTTCTATAGACCTCAGATCTTTAGGCCAAGAATTCCTGATAATTATCAATCTGGTCCGGGATTGACGTGTTATTAGACTAGGTAATTTGCTTCATCAGCCTCGTTTAGTTGTTGTTTATGAAAGTTATGTTGTTGGATTTCTTTGAAGGAAATTCTGCAATTGAAATATATTCGTTTTAACATGCGTAGCAACTGTGCTGTTTTTATGTCATATTGTTTCCAGGAAAATGGGGTACGAACTGGATGGTCCTTACATGTTGAAGTCGTTATAATCGTTATTTTCTACAGCCTTTGATCTAAATGTTGTAAATGTCATTGTTACGTCTATGTTTATGAATGTAATTTGTAATAGATTTATAATCTTCCAAAGTCTTTTTTAATTCTAAAGAAATTGCAATTCTTGTTCTAAATATTGTTAATATGTCCCATTGTATTTTGTTATTTTAAAGATTAATTTAGTTTGTGTTGTCTTGTTGTCTTGCTATAGTGTCGTTTTGATGCTCAAAGATACTCAGAAAAGTTTGGGTTTTGTTTATTGAAATTTACCTTTACCAGTTTCATATTAATCTTAACACTGCAGTTTATTATCTACTGATATGTAATTCTGGATTTTGAAAATTAAGTGGTGACGAATTCAAAGTTGTCGATTTAAATATATCTATATAGAAAGTTCAAACTGACGAATTACAAAGGTTTGAATTTCTGAATGAGGTGTATATTTGGAGTAACACTTCTCTAAATGTCTGTAAAAATATGTCCCAAACTGCTTCATTTCGAAGCTTTGTTCGAAATAACGCGATCATTTCTTGAAAGTTATGGCTAGGAATTTAGTGAAAGATGCGAGACCGAAAGCTAAGTTAGTGAGAGTTGCATGCAGCGCGTGATCGCAGAACAAAAAAGAATTAATTAGTATGATTTTATTGTCTGTTTTTCTGATCGAGTTGTAAGATCTTCGTGATTTTGGTGAAATGATCATAAATGTATTGCATTTTGTGGACAGTTGATTTTTGTTTAGATATCAATAACTACAGCATTATCATTAGCGATAATTGGTCTCTGGTTAGGAATATGAATATTGAGCTGAAAACAATTCTTCATTTTAGACAATATCCATATACATGAAGTTAATATCATATAAGAAATACAGAAAGCTTGAGGTCCGGGTAAAGATTTTGAAAAAATTATCAAAATTATACATGGAAATGTATGTCTTTCTCAGGTATCAGGTCAAATCACACTTCATAAAAAATTGGTTGTTATTCAAAGTTCACGTATGGCGTAGATGTCTTATTAAGACAGTGACAATGTATGGTTGATTGTGTAGGGAGGGGGGACATCCATTTGTCAAAGTAAACTCATAAAATGTTTGACACGAGGAAGTGAGCTTCAACTAAGATGGCTTATTTAACACAACTTTTATCAGCAGACACTTCTGAAATTCTGTCATGTTCTGAATTCAATTATTTTGTACATTTTTTATCCATAATTCAATTATTTTGCACATTTTCTATCCATCTATGGTATTTGGCCCATGCTTTGCTCCCAAATGTATTGTAATTTATTGTCCCAAATGTATTGTAATTTTTGTTAAGATGTGAAAGGATGGTATGGATGTACTGTCTAACATCGATAGCTAATTAAGAGGATCATAGTTATCATTTGGTAGTGATTTTGTATCCTAAATATAATTTACATGTTGGAGAAAATTTGAACTAAGATAATTAGGTAGTCTTAAGTTTAGAACCAGAATTGCACTGAATTGATTTTACTCATCAAAAAAAAGAAGCGCCATTGAGAACTAATTTTTACTCAGCACTGCTTTTGAAATTGTTAAGTTCGAAATGGCAAACTGTTTTACTTCTGTATGAGTTTTTTTTTTTTTCTTTAGTAATCTACGCGATATTTAATTAAGTTGCAGGTGATGAAATCAACAGTACTCTTAACACATCGTTGTAGCATGACCTAAACTTATACACTTAGATCAGTCTAAACAACCACATTTTGTTGCTGGAAAAAGTTGTTAACGGTGTTTTATAACTGCTGAAAAAGGAAGAAAAGCTCTCGGTATTATTTGTACATAAAAGTACAATGAAGCGGCAATAGCAAACATTAAGGTATAATATAATGTGAGTACATCGAACGATACAACACTGCAGGTGCACTACTTGAACTATGTTAATAGTTTCTTGATAACAGTGGTTTCGGGTGGTGTGTTCATTATGAAAAATTGCTTATGTTACACAAATGCAATAAAAATGTAATCAATAAGATCACAAAATAAGATAATACAGTTTGGGAGTTACAGAACTTCAAAAGTTAGAATTCAATTTCTTCCAACTGATAATTTTATATAAGTTCCAAGGTAAATTTAAAATTCCTAAAATTCTCATTCATTAAAATTAATTTACAAAAACTGCAATTTCACACAGGAACAGTTATTTTATAAGCGCATAATATAAACTACAGAATAAAGATATGTAGATATCAAAATGTCTTAAAATAATAGAACAACATTTCACGTTAACTTTTTATCACTCAGCAATTGCAACAGCAATCTCCAGAAAATTAGTGTCCGTTTGGTTTTGGGATTTCCATCTGGCTGATAATGTCGTACATTGATGCACGATTTTTCGATATGTCAACACGACTTAGGAGAGTTGAAATTTGTCGTTGAAAATCATCATCTTCTTGTTGGTTCAATGCAATACGCTACAAAAAATCTTTATTGTCTCTAACTCTAAAACCATTGAGATTCCAAAAGTCTCAGCTCGATATAATCATTTCAAATGAAATGAAACTGAGAATAATTAGAAAATCAAAGAAAGGAGGACAAGAAGCAATGGCATGAAGTGAACAAGATCTAGATAATATTAGCAATATCACTCAATACTGAAAATCAACCACGTCACAGAAATCAGATTTTGTCATTAAGTCAAAAAAAGAATGGCAAAATGAAACGAACATCAAACCATTATAACGTTCTCAAAACAGAGATAATATAATGGAAATAGGAATGCATGAATTCACTTTAGAAGATTAAGCATTTCACTTAATTCATCTCTTTTTTAGAGCATTAGAAACTTTTCAAAATGATGAACAGAATACGAATTTGCCGACATTAATAATCAGTAAATAAAGTTTCTTTTAGGCAAGGAATCCCATCAATTTCACAAACGCATTTTGAAGTGAAGGGTCTTAAATTTAAAAAAAAAAAAAAAAAAAACATGATTGGAATTTTTATTGTATTGCAAGGAAACAACTTTGATAAGTTGAATGAATGACATTCCAATAAACAGATTTACAACTAATATATGAAGCACAGAATTAAAAAACCTTCCCTAACGTTTCTGTTTCTAAAAATGACAAATGAGCTTCTAACATCACTGGAAAAAAAAACATATAAATTTCAAAAAGTGTTATTTTTTGTGGGAGCAACTGAAAACGAATAAATGTAGTAAACGGAATATTAAAAAACCGCATAGCGCTGATCTATTAAATGCATAAAGAAAAAGATTTTTAATAATCTCATAAACATTTTTTGGTAAGCTGCAGAGTTTGGTAATAGGCAAGTGAACCGACAACTCTTCATTAACCTAAAGTTTCGGTTCAAAATGAAATCCTTAAACTTTAGGCATGAAGCCTATGTCTCTAAAACATTTGAGATTGCTAACAAAAGTTTTAAAATATATCAACAAATTTGAGTGGTAAACAAGTCTAAATTGTTTTAAGATTACCTCGAAAAGTTCGTAGTGTGCCAGGAATCAAAATCGCCAGACACTATGACATTAACGCTATTAATTTCCTTTAAAACCCTAGATGAAAGAAGACTAGAGCATATCTTCCAAAGTTTGAAAACCTCAGGAACTATTCCTAAAGTTCCACATTACTGTCATTTTCGAATATTAATTAATTTTGGAGAAGGAAGCTAGATATAAATACCATATAAGTATACTAAAATACAGTAAACAAGATTTCAAAAAATGTGGAAAGCTCGAAAAAAATTACCAAAAAATATGATAATTATGAAAAGCGAGTACATAATGACAGATATTTCAATTCTATTTCCTTAGAATGAACTGAAAGTTAGGAATTGAGTGGATGATAATTTTCCGATAAAATAAATTAATTTAATAATTTTTATATAGTGCAGTACTCAAATGAGATCGAAAGTAAAGTCATTATTGTCTTAACTAAAAATCATTATTTGTCTTTTTAATTTTTTAATTAATTATCTAGCACGGTATGTCACGATTCAATGGATACACATTCATATTTTGGAATTATGCAAGCATTAAAATAAAACATAAACAAAGGTAGTTCTGGCAAATAAAGTTTCTTCATTTCAATTTCATATGAAATTATAATGAACTGAATGAAAATCGTGCGAAATTTTTTTGTGAATGTTGAAAACTATCTGTTCATGCATGACATTCTACTGATCTTGAAATAATTCAAAGGAAACGAAATAATCTAGTTTTCTGTTTTTTCTTTTATCCTTCCAGTTTAGCACTGAAAGACCGGATTTTTATATATAAATGAAATTTAATTATGTCTATGAAAACGGGTCATTGGTCCATCCAGCAAATGAATACGTCATGAACTAACTATTTTGAATACTTCAACTCAAATTAATACAACAGAAAGATCTGTACTTGAAGAATTATTCGGATATTTGATGAGCAATACATATTCCTATAACCTGTTGTTGTATTTCATTGAAATCCATTTTTTAAAAGATGTTGAAAAATGATTTGTTGATTTTTTTGGAGAAGAAATCGAACTTTGATCCACTTGCTTACTTTCAAGAAAACTTTGCTATAACTTTTGTAATATCGGAACAAAAATATCAATGTGTGGAAAGAGAGTGATGTAAATGACATCAAAGCTTCAAAACAGAAATTGAATCCAGAATTCCTGACCAACTATTCAAAATTTTCCTAACATAATTTTTTGTGATCTGCTTCCAAACTGGAAACATTATTCACATAATAAATTAACACGCTGAAAGCTGCATTCGAGTAACATTTACTGTTTCTTATTGAATAAAATTTAAATTTAGATAACTTGTACTAAATACTTCGATATTCCAGTACTACTACTTATGCGAAATTTAGCCAAGAAAAACAAATCTCTGAAATATAACTTGAAAAGTTATATTTCCCAATAAATACAGATAAAATCTAATCCCATGAGCCATTGACGCAAACAGTCCTGGTACCCTAGTATACTTATCCCAAATTCATGTTTACATTTGTAGGAAAATTTTCCACTTCTCTTTATTACTTTCGTTTTTTTTTTTTTTTTCAATTACAGAGAAACAATCTTACTTCGTGAAAAGAACGACGTCTTTTCTCGCGTTCTTCTCTCTGATGTTTCAAAGTATCCATCAGTTTTTCATTGTGTGCTTTGATCCTTTCCTCAACTTTATCCATGTAATGGTTCAAATGATCCAATTGCGAATCCAATCTTCGAATCTCTGCAAAGAAAAATCTACAATATACTAAAAATACAGTAAAATAAAAATTCATTTTGCAAGAAGTGAAATATTTCTCTCAACAAGTATTAGAAAAACATAAATTTCCAGATAAATTTCCAGATTAAATGAAATGAGAAATGATTCATAAAATGCACATTTATACGCAGTTACTTTTGTTTGGCCTAGAAGAAAAGAAGAAAAAGACTGGTAGTGCTAGTTTTACTCATCTATCCGTTATAAACAAAGACAGTTAAAAATGTAAAAAGAACAACCATAATTTTTTTTGTCCTTCTAAGGCATAACTTTAGCTTTCTTTAAAAAAATCCCTTGAACAAGCAAGCAAATGGTTTCAATTTTAATTAGGAGAGAAAAGTCAACAAATTCCATTGACAAGTAAATGATCTCAAAGTATGATCTCAAACGAAATTCAGAAAAGTAGTCTTTTTGCTAAAACTTACCTTCATTCCCATCATCTTCAGGTGTGATTTCGTTCAGAACTTCTAGACCATGTTGCAATACCGCAAGTGAACTATTTTTATTGTTTTCATTCCTTTCTGGTACAGTACCATTTGTTGTTACCTGCAATATCTCAATATTTTAGAATCTAAGTATTGGAAATTAACTTCTTTAAAGTGATTGGAAACTTACATATTTAAAATGCAATTAAAATTACTACTTACGATAATTAATAAAATGATTAAATCGAAAAGCCTAAAGTCATTTTTAAATTTATTAATCTCCATTAGATATTAGATAAAATTGAAATCTGAAAATATCTGCAAACCAAGACAACTGAAAGTATCCGGAGATAGGAGAGTAGCAAAAACAACTGGAATGGCTATATATATATAATAATGGTTTTAAGATTCCTTTACACTTAATGGATTATTTTGGTAACTCGGAAATGTGACATAGAAAGAAATAGTTTCAAAAGCTATTAGCAGTTAGAACTGCTGTCTAAACTCCATGTTATTCGAGTGCTTAATTAAAAATTAATGAAGGGAGGATATGAGGAAGTGATTCAGTTTTTTTCTTCTTCAAGTAGAAAAACAGTTCGGTAATGAAAATAAAGAAATACTACAACTAGTAGTCCATTTGTTGGAATCATTTTGAAGGTTCATATGAAAAGAAAGGAGTAAAAAACATCATATATGAGTAAAAAAGGAGTAAAAAAAAACATTATTAGCAACATTCAAATTTCTAATTTAAAATGACAATTTATAAATGTGTTAGTAAAATATCTGTGTGTTTGCAAACGGTTCTACATATACTTTATATGGAATATGTGTTGATACCAGTTTACAGTATTTTGCACAAGAAGTACTATCCGGAAGCTAAATTTGATTATCAGAAGGTAAAATCCAGCACGGATTCTCGTTTTTTCCTTATCTAAACAATCAAACTAGCAGCATAACATTAATACTTCACTTTGAAATTATGTTATTTTTCTAGGATATAATTAAATAATGCACACAAATACCTGCTGTTGAATTTTGGAGAGTGGTCTGTTCCTCATTCGGACGACGGTTACAGTGTCTTCGGCTTCCACTGATGGCAGCGATAATTTAATGGTCTGACCACTGCTCGGTTTATTTTTATCGTCCGTTACCTGGCTTTGAACAGGTTCTAGCAATAGTGGTTGCTGCTGCTGTTCAACATTACTGACTAATGTGGAGGAGGATGAAATGGAGGATAATGTTGATGATGACATTAAACCCTGATGAATATTGTCACCATTAATTATCCTGTTTGTTTCATCGCTGTTCATTTAAAACAAATAGCTGCTGTTATTTCAGCTAATGCTGTTGCTTATTTGGTAATGAATTGTTTCCTGCAAACTAAAATAAAACTAAAAATCCTTCGACATTTTTCCAGTGACAATAATAACGTCAGAAAAATAATGATTAATGTTACAACAATAATAACAATAAAATAATAATAATAATAATAATAATAATAATAAACTTGGACGATCCGACAATTATCAACAAATCACAAAAGACACTCAACACATTTCTAACTAATCCAGACGACATGACCAATCAGTAGTACGATCAGTAGTGTATTTTCGGTTTCGTCAAAGAATGAATACGGATATGGAGAAACGACTCAAAAACAAAAAAAAAAAAAAAGTAGCAATAAAAATAGAAAGATAGAAATGAGAACGATTTCTATTCCATACCATTACATTCCTTCAGACTGACCGATCTTGCAGTAACAATTGATGAATTGTGTCCAATAATCAATCAATCCACTGATGTGTAGAAGTTGACCTAATAGTGCGGTGACATTACTTCTGCTAATATTTTCTCTCATAACGGATAAATCCCTCAGTGACTGTATGTGCTCAACTCTTTCAAATAATAACGATACATTCTGACCGATATCAAATGCAGTTCATTAAAGAAGTGAAAATTGCAGTTGTTTGGAGCGCAAAGAACGACATGGAGTGACTGATAGACACATATCAACCAGACAGAGGCAAGTCTCACAAAAAAAAAATTTCCATACGATTCACGCAAAATCATTGCGTTGTAATGTTTCTTCTTTCAAGCGCACAGAGAAAGGAACTGGGCTTGACGGCTGGCATAAGAACCAGTAATTATCACGATGATGGATAAATCGGTAATTTTTGTAGATTTTGGAGAGAGAGACATTTGTAGCAACGAACAAATGCAATACAAGGAGCCAAGACATAAGATTAATGCTGACCTACTGATAATTGTTTTTCTTTTCAAAAAGCATGAAATGGAAATGCAGTAATAAATTATATATACTGTCCAGGGACATCTACAAGTACCGCATAATCATTCAACTTTGTCGCTGATGGTAGTTGCAACAATGAGGAAAAGTGTACTTAAATGCTAGCACACCAACATTATTCCCAAAGATAGCTTCTGATCATTTCCGGTATTTTTTCGGGACTTGCAGCAAGGACAGAAGAGAGGAGTGCCAGTCACATGTGCAGCAATCAATACTTTAGTTTGCGACACTCTCAACTGGATCAATTTGGACTGTTATACGAGAAAAAGAAGCAAACAAGTTTTATAATATTCTGAAGGATATGGAAATTTCCGTCTAACATCCTCCAAATTTTTCTTCATCCATACACAACAATTAGTGATTACAGTAATCTCTTATCATGGTCATTTATTACTAACACTATTCCGTTGCTAGTATTCATACTAATCAAAATAACACTTTGTAAATAAACAAACAAAGGAGAGATGAATGATTTATGACTTTGAAAAAATCAAACAGAAAAGCTTTGAATTTGCTAGTAAGTGGAAATGTGAGCAATGACAACAGTCCACACATTTGTCACCAACCACTACTGTCTGCATATATGCGTATGTGTGTGTGTGTGTGTGTGTGTGTGTGTGTGTCTGTGTGTGTGTCTGTGTGTGTGTGTGTGTGTGTGTGTGTGTGTGTGTGTCTGTGTGTGTGTGTGTGTGTGTGTGTGTGTGTGTGTGTGTGTGTGTGTGTGTGTGTGTGTGTGTGTGTGTGTGTGTGTGTGTGTGTGTGTGTGTGTGTGTGTGTGTGTGTGTGTGTGTGTGTGTGTGTGTGTGTGTGTGTGTGTGTGTGTGTGTGTGTGTGTGTGTGTGTGTGTGTGTGTGTGTGTGTGTGTGTGTGTGTGTGTGTTCGGCTGACGACGCACACGTAGGTGACAAATCTATGATGCAACCAATTTCGATGCTTTTGAAGTCTGAAGTTGTTTAAATCAATGAAGCCATTTGTCTCATTGAAATTTTAATTAAGAAACTGATTAATTATTAAAAAAAAAATTCTCAAATTTAAAGCAGAAAAAAATCACTATATGATAATGATGGATTCAATAGATGAAGTATATCAGGCATTAATGATAATATCAAACAAATTATATGAATAGCATGACACAACATCGGGTTGCATACATATAACAGCTATTGTTAAGACTGATAAGACTGAATCAATATTCTGTAATTCAATTCAGATATTATAATATTTCGTCTTCCTTTTGCTTTTCTCTGATTTTGAAAACCTATTGGGATGGAAGTGAAAAAATGATGTATCCATTTTCTATTTTTCACTGGAAAATGTGTCCACTCTAAAAAGACGTGAAGTGTTTCGCTTCAGTCACAGCATTTCGTCATAATTATGACTAATTGCATTAACGTACATCTAAATACGAATAGGCTTTGCTCCTCAAACAAAATAATATTCGCTCAGATCGATCGGCAATTCTCTTATTGGTTATATTTTCAAATATTTTAATTTTCCTTTTTCGAATTAGAAAAAAAAAATCCAAAATTCTAATTCAAGAAGAACTACTGAAATTTCAGCAAAACCGGATAAAAGTTTCAGAACTAAAAATACTACTACTACTTACTACCTAACTACTTACTACTTACTACCTACTACCTACTACTTGCTACTTACTGCTTACCACTACTTACTACTCAAATATCTTCTGATCAGATAAGCCGTAAACAACATTTTGATCTGTCAGCCTTTGTTTCTCCTTAGTTCCAAGAAAAAACAATAATATTCAGAACAATCCCTAAATTATGTGACATCTAGCAGTTGATAATTTTTACGATCTACATGTGAAAGGAGCAGAAATGAACTAATCAAGTCATTTGCAATCGTTCATTGCAAAAATGCAAATGGATGAAAAATTCAAGCTTTGCTAAAACTGAGTGAAAACGAAGGAGAAAAAAAATCAAATTAAACTAATATTTTTCGTTGCAAATTACAAAAATAAGTCCGAACTTGGTAACTTACAAATGAATAAAAGAATAATAAATTATCCAGAAATGATGTCAATATTCAGCGTTGAATGACATTTCCATCAAAATGAAATCAACGCATTCATATCCTACCACCCCGATGACACCCGTACCATTAGATAACTATAATACTACACAGAAAGGAATTTTTTGATAATCAAAGCATCGAAATAGAAAGGAGTTTTTGGTAAAACGATGATGATTTGCTACACTACAAACAGTCGCTACCACTGTGTTGCCGCCGTCGTTGGCAGTCGATCGAAAAATATACAAAAAATGAACAAAGGAAAGGAAAGTTATATCACATAATCTGCTTTGTATTGATTAACGTTTTTTATCTTTCAAGCAGTACTTCTAAGTACTCTTATTAAACAGAATTTGTACAAAATTAGGAAGAAGAAATGAAGCTGTAGAGATTATGGAAATAAAGTTATTGAAATGATTGACACATATCGGATACACTTCGATTTTTAATTTAAATTTGCGATCAATTTTTAATAAAGTTTCCTGATAGTCTACGGACAATACACACAGTGGGAGAGAAAAGCACTAACTCAACTGTAAGTTTGATATTTGCCTCTTACCTGAAAGGTAAGTAGGTTTAATCTCAAAATGTTTGTCTATTTGTCTATCGGAGATGTTTACATTAGGAATGCTCGTTTCACATATTTTGAAGTAATTTTCAAGCTTTGAATGGAGCAAAAAATAATTTGTTCAGCAAAAAAAACATCAACTTTTCAAATTTTCAAGTGCAAGCGCCAAAGCACTCTATAAGAAGAAACATTTCATAAAATTTCTGCGAACTTTATACTGAAAGTAAGAAATTTAGGAAATTCTTAAAATGATTTAAACAAACATTTATGGTCAAAAAGTTAATATCAAAAAAGAAAGATTTTCTGCACATCAAAACGTTGAAATACAATTTATGACAAACACATCTTTGAATGATGTCAAGGTCTAAATTATTTTCGTATCTTTTTACACCAAGCATACATCCTTCGATATATGTAGACTTGTGGTTTAGACTGAAACAAAACTGTCTATGGCTTATTTTTTATTAAATGTGTACAAATATAATGTATTTTAATCTATGGTTTATTGTGTTACTCAGAAATTATCTGGGATAAGGTATTTCTCGTTGCTCTAAATCTTACCACTTCTTCTTTCAAAAATGAACTTCGCTTTCTCTGTTTTGAATTAGTAAGGAAGAGAAATAATGATAGCAACGTAGTGGAAAACGAAGTCTGATGGAGCATGAGGACATCATCCTACTTTGGATTCTTTTCTTGTTTAAATTTACCAAATCTTCTATTCAGCTTAACAAAGAAACAGAAATTTAGTATCCGACCCTATCACCTTAATGCATTGGAATGTGAATGACTTGAACGGACGATTTGACTTAGCAATATTTCAAAATGCACTCCTCAACAAAAGTGCCATCTAAAATAATGGACAATCAGATGTCTACTCAACCAGAAATCTTAATTTTTGAACAGGTAGTAGCTTCGAAATAACTAAGTGTATTACTTCGATTTAAGAATAAAAAATTTTTTGTTTTTAGTACTCTCGGAAAGTACTCAGTAAATTCGTCTTTCTCATTACAAAAAAAAAAAAATCCTCCATCAAGAAGGGAAGCAGTTATCGAATCGAGAAAAACCTTCAATTTAATTTAACTTTGTCCATAAAAAATTACACTTTTCACCGTTCTACATTTCGTCCCATCGTCTCCTAAAAGTCAATAAGTTTTCTCACAAAAGCAGAGCTTTAAAAAAATTTCCTACAAGGCTTTTCTGCTTTTTGAATGAATAAAAGCAAATGAAAAGATGGAAAATTTGTTCGTCCCATTATATTTCGAAATATAGATGAATTGAAGTGAAATTAAATAATAATAGTAGTAGCAAATTTTTAATTTTGCGAATTTAAAGGAAAATTTTCAAAAATCCTATAGCACAACAGCAAAAAAATCAAAATTTCTTTTCCAGAAGTGATTTTTTCTCCC